CCCCAAAACCCCAAAACCCCAAAACCCCAAAACCCCAAAGTACATGGAGAAGGTATAAACCAATTTTAATAACTTGAACCACTAATAATTTCTTCGATTGATACTTCTTGAAGGTCTTCCAGTACTCTATCGATCAAGGTCTTGATGAACCCATCATCGCTCTTCAAGAAATTAGCCTTGTTGTAGCAATTCATAGCCTGCCTGAAGTCTTTCTTGAGATGATAAGCATATCCGAGAGATGCATATGTAGATGGGTTCTTGTTATTGATACTCAAACATTCTTCATAATATCTAATAGCTTCCTCATATTTCTTCATTTTCCTATTTCAGTGTCCTAGATTAAGAAGAATAGTTTCATAGGTCTTTCAATTCTCATCTGTCGAGAGATCATGGGCGATCAGGAATAGTTTCTCAGCTTCTTTGTAATTTTTTTCTTTATAATACACAACTCCCTTCTCATTGTAAACTAGACAGTCCTTGCTATTAATCTTTTGAGCTTGTTCAAAAGAAATCAAGGCTGTAGGCAACTTATTTGTTCTCAAATATTCCATCCCAATACATTGGTTAGCAAGGTGGCATCCAGGGAACAATCTTGCGGCTGTTCTGTATGCTGACATTGCTTGGTCAGACTCATCTGATGCAGCATAGCTATGTCCGAAGGCTATCCAACTAGCTGCAAAATGCTTATCAAACTTATTTGCTTTTTCAAAATACTTCCTTGAAACATCATATTTCTTGACTAAATAATAGTATGCACCAACAGTGAACCAGGAAACAGCTAATTCAGGACTAGAAGATACCAAATTGTGTGCAAGGATATATAGATCTCCAACATTGTTCAGCTCTATCAGTATGGCAGCATAAAGAGGAATAGCACTGAAGAAGTACATGTCTTCTTCAATCAAGTTCTTAACAATCTCATATGCCTTAGATACATTTTGCTCATTGTAATACTTTTCTGCTTCAATAATTTTGATATAGCTGTTCTTGCTATTATACAACACTTCTAAAATCTGGACTTCTCTTTGATTTCTCCCTTCATAACTGTCAATAGTTATTCTCTTGGCTTCAGGTGTCTTCCCGATGTCTTTTATCTGAGGAGGAGAAACATGGCTGTAATAAGCACCAGAACCTCCAATTTCATCTTCATCAGCACAGAAGTTCTTGACATTGGGAGACTGAATAGAAGGCTCAATTGTGTTAATAATCACCGATCCTTCACAATCCTCTCTAATTGCACCTTCAATTCTCGAGATGTAGTAGTCCTTAAGCCAGAGGTTATGCTGTGTGAAAGACAAGTCTTGAATCAGCTGCTCCCTTTCCTCTTGAGTAAGCAAATAATTGCCCACAAGTCTTTCAAAAGCTTCGAAATTTTCACAATTATTAAACAATGCTTTCTTGTAATTCTCTACTGCTAGCTTATTGTTCTCTTGGGCTTCATAAGCCTTTGCAAGGATAAGATGTCTGAGACCTTTATAGTAATTGTATTCTTCTCCCTCCAAAACAGTATTTTCAAAATTTTTGACTTCGTCTTCTTCTTTTACCTCTTTCTGTAGTACATTAATGCATGCTTCTATATTATTAGCACCTAGCAAAGCTTGTGCAGTAAGAATTCTGAACTTCTCAGTGTAGAGGTACTGGAATGTGCAGATCTTATTGATGCTATTTCCATGTCTTTCAATAAGCTGGACACATCTCATGTACTCCTTGTTTAAGTAATAAGCATTAGCTAGGTCATAAATCGCCTTAATGTGCTGATCAGAGTCATGAATAGATAGAGCTAAAATCTTATCTGCATAGAAGATAGCATCATTATAGCAACTATGCCTAATCGCAGACTCCATTGTACGATTCAGTCTATCCAAAAGCTGATCGTCAGTGGGTTTCTTCAATAAACTTCCTTGTGGGTGATCTGGAGAATTGCTCTATGTTTTAACATACACTGCTTACATCGTCCATCTCAAATGAATCTGGGGAGGCCTTCAAAGGCTGTTTCTTTATCGAGCTCAAGTTTTGGCCGATCTTCATATTTAAATTCAAATTAGATTCAAATATTTTTAATTTATACGGGGTTTTGGGGTTTTGGGGTTTTGGGGTTTTGGGG